TTCTTAGTTCCGCAGTTGGTACATTCAATATTTTCGTGCACGACAGCCTAGAAATGGAGGCATTCAATTTTTTTCTGACAGATTCAAATTCCATTTTTGAACGTTCAAATAAACTTATCAAGTAGCGGTTCCTTGACAAAGCGGTACCGAAAGCCAAGTAACAAAAACATTCTTGTTCATGTCCTTTCTTCTCACCCTTCGCACACAAAGAGGGCGATTGTGAGAAACATGTTTCGAACAGCCACCTCTGTGTGCACTTCCAGAGAACTAAAGGAAGAGTCGCGCGACTTGGCTCGGCAAATAGCCATCTCCAATGGCTAAGAAATAGTAACCCCACGAAATAAGTTTAGAAGGAGAGCGTCGAGCCCACGCGAAACACTTGGCCAAAAGAAAATCCCGTTTATGTTGCCTTTTATAGCGATGAAGTAAGCGTAGCTATAAAACGATGCTTAAGAAGGGCAGGTCTAGAGGAATCGGTAGCGATAGTTGAAATACCACCCGCTACTCTACGTCGTCAATTAGTTCGTAACCGCCTGTATGACCGTCTGTGTGAAACAACAAATTGCGTAATTCGCCTTTACGGCAGGGACGGTGATTGCATGAGTTCAGGTACGATATACCTAATCTCATGTAATAATTGCGGAGATGAATATATTGGCGAAACGGGCAGACTTTTGTGTATCCGTATAAAAGAACACCTAGATGGTAAACGAAAACTAAGACGAAGCACCCCACTAGGCTCGCATTGGATACAAAAGCATAGCGGAGACGATTTTGAAGTAAAAGTCACTATCCTTGCACAGCAGTCCAAAACGCCAGCGCAAAAAGTTCTTGAGGCTTTTTGGATAAATGCCAAAAACCCTACAATGAATAGCAGGGATGAATGCCCGGAGGTCATACGCGACCTGATCCCATATGTGCGCATCGAATTTTGATGTGCGATGGTGCAATCACACATGCGACTATAATCAGCTGTTCTAAACTTCCTCATTGGAAGTCACGAAAAAGCGGTGGGTTTTTCGAGAAGTTGTTGGTCTGCGACTATAATCAGCTGTTCTAAACTTCCTCATTGGAAGTCACGAAAAAGCGGTGGGTTTTTTCGAGAAGTTGTTGATCGTGTAATTACCAAAGAGTCTTTCGTCTTTGTGTAAGTGTTATTGAAGCGTTTGGCCTATTAGATTGTATATCAGCATACCCTTCCAGGCTCTGAAGAAGGCGATGCTGCCGAAACGTCAGCCAGTGTTGTATTGTATTGTGTTTTTCTATGGAAGTAAATGTATGCTGTTTAAAAACTTCGCGATTGCTGAACAAGAAAACGACACATTTTTGGTGAATTCCGCTCAGAAAACGCATATTTGACGATTTCAGAACGATTTTGACGTTTCCCGTTGGCAGGTGATTGCTGATGGCACTGAGCGATAGAACTAGCTGAAAGAAAGGCAAAACGAGGTAGCTGCATGGTGGGTTGGTGAATGCGTTAGCCCCGGAAAGCATAATAACGCGTTCGTTCCCCGTCGTAGGCACATGCGGTCCGGAGTTTTGCAAATATCTCAGCATCGTTGTGGTTGTTATCACATTTGTTATATTTCTCACCACGTAAGAATCTACGATGCTGGTTTCCAATAATATCTGAAAGACCTATAAACAACAAAATGGCTCAAAAGAATGCGAAACCGCCAAAACGTCGACTGTTCTGAATCGATAAACAACCATGTATTTCTTCGTCAAGAAAACAGTAAGTTGTTATTGTTTGTAACAACTGCTGTTCCAAACTGTGCCTATTGCTCATGTTGCAGTATTTAAACTAGGAAACTTGCTTGAAAGAACGCAAATAGCAATCCTTACTACAAGGCTTTTTTTAAATACTGGACTGCAGTAATAATCAGGGACATCAGCATATACTCAAAGGTATTGTAAGTTAGTTCGCCTTGGTACACTACAATAATCTGGTCAACACCTTATAGAAGATGTTCATCAGCTATTGAGGATACAAGGAAACTATATAACATTGTTGCAAGAATTCCTAACAGATTTGAGATGGCATGACCTCCGAAGAAGTTGTTTGTTCGGGACGTTGCGGCTTGCAAAGGGCGGGTAGCGCAGTGGTGTTGATACCGTCCATCACGAGTACGGTACTGACTCTACCCCGCCCGGATTCACGGAGCCTCTCATAGCTCCGTTGTAGGATCAGGGAATTGGAAATTTGCTTGTCTAGACCCAACTCACTCTCTCAAATCCACGCGGGTATGTTCGAGCACACCTATCTCAGTAATGCAGGAAGAATTGACTCCAGCATCATTCGACAACATTCGTAAAGATGACAATAATCCCTAAGCAACGGCTAAAGCCATGCGCGAAAAGTTCACTGATCTTCGTGGACGAAGAATGCGTGGTAACCCTTAGAATTCATGAAGTGCTTGGAACCATGCAATAGATGTGAAGATGAGTTACGTTAAACAAAAAAAAATTGCCACCTGCATAACCTCTATGGAAGTCATATTATTTGCTATGGTCGATTCAGCACTGTCTTCGTTAACTACTTGTAGTCAAGTTTATCTAACACGGATCTTGAGGTGGGCATCGGCCAAGAAAGCCTTAATTCTACACTTTAAAATGGTAATTTGCCTTAAAAATAAACGTTGTTTCAATTATAATCGCTACAATGTGTCATAGGTATCCCGCTGAACGAGCGAGCCTGAAAAAATGGGTAAATGAACACAAGAGAAGCTTCAAAACACTTCCAAATGTTAACAGTAATACTTCCGTATAATGGACCACATTGACATATACTAAAGAGTAGCACACATCTCCTACATACCCGTAGCAGAATAAAGTCCCCACTATAATGCTGCCGTTTGCTATCTCAGAAGCCCTTTTGTTCCCGAAAAATTATCGTCTGTATGCGTCGTTTTCTTGTTCAGTAATCGCGAGGTTGTTAAAGAGCATATGCTTCCATAGAAAAACACAATACAATGCAATACAACTAGCTGACGTTTCGGCAGTATCGCCTTCAGAGCCTGGAAAGGTATACTGATATACAATCTACTAGGCCAAACGATTCAATAACACGTACAAAAAAAACGAACAGCTCTATGGTAATCACATGATCAACAGCTTCCCGAAAAACTCACCGCTTTTTATATGACTTCCAATGAGGAAGACTAGAACGGCTGATTATAGTCGCATATGGTTGATGACTGCCACGAAGTCACGTAAAAAGCGGCTCTGAAGCGATACCGCCGAAACGTCAGCTACTGTTGTATTGTATTGTGTTTTTCTATGGAAGTAAATGTATGCTGTTTAACAACCTCGCGATTGCCGAACAAGAAAACGACGCATTCATATTCTGATGCAGAGGTTACTAGAAAGTCGATCCTGGAAACTTATCGTCTGCTGTAAGAAAACCACTATGTCTGTATAGGGGCGGAAACTAGGCCTCGTCGTGAATGTATTAACAATGTTACCAGACGATAGATATTATGGACTTCATGTTCAACAAACAAGCTGAACCCACTGGTTAGCTGTGGAACGGAGCCATGGCGAAAGAAAACTACTTCATTGGTGAGATTTGAAATTACCCGATAGTCAACAGCAGGTTAGCTGATAGACACGAAAATCCATTCCACAGTGTAGTTTTTCAGATCATCCCAAACTGGTCAACTACTCATTACAGGTCGTACAGTACTGCTGCGAAATATCATTAGATAATGTTTGTTAGAAAAAGTGTACTGCTTGGAAATTACTGTAATGCTTCACTTTTTTCTTCATATACAACAACGAATACACCTTGGGTATACTCATGCAGCGCCACTAAACCTTTGCAAATCGTTGAAAAAAAGACTACATAGCGAGAGCTACTTATTTCAGCTACCGAACTCCACTACATGAAGACGCGTGGCTACAAAGCAAAATCATTTTTACGAAAGAAAAAGTAACAGCGATTCAGAATTGGGTTATGCACGGGAGAACTTCACGGGCTACTTGCTTGTAAATCGTCCCCAAAGTGAGGATACGCTATGTGTTAGCGACAGTGAAAAATATCATCAAGTAAGCAACACTGCAATTCACAACAAGATTCTTTTATCACCATCCATTTCACAGACACTAACGATCACAAGGTAAATAAAGTATAGTGGAAGATTTCAACAGCCACTTTGCGATAGTTCCTATTTGGTCATTGAGGCCATTGACAAGTGCAGTGAGCCGTCGTCGGTGTTCGTGAGCAAACTGACAGCATGATTAAGTACCGGTTCTATAACCTCCCAGTATTCCTAAACAGTATCTGCAGATCTAGAAATGTGAAAATATAAAAATCGAACCCGCGACCTACCAGTGTCTTAAAGCTGGTTTTATTTTTAATAGATACTTTAAGAACATCCAATAAATACATTGAAAAACACTAAGCAGTCATTGCTTATGTAACAGCGAACTATGTTTACAGAAAATTCCAGAATTTAAAGTCCTCGAAAAAAAACTTTTCCAGTTGTAACATCTGAAAACCGTCTGTGTGAACAACCACTCTGGGACTTCGCGCAACACGGACAAACGCAGCCAATTAGTACTGAAAACCAAAAATTCCTTCTATACGGAATTTGTACTTAGTCGGTGAAATTTTAGTTCATGCCACAAAAGTTTTACTTAACATATAACGCTCCTGTTGCGTTGTACACAATGCAGTTGATGCTGCCACTTCCAACTTTAAACCAAAATATCGCATGTCGTATTAGATTTTCCTACTCAGAACAATGATCTTCTGGAGCCCCTGGCATATATTCCCTTCGCCTCTTTGAACCAAGGCTCACATTTCGAATACAAAAACAACAGCAATTGAGATGCGTCCAGTAGGACGCGATGATCTTCCGCAGAGTACCATCTATGTTTGAGGTTGCCGATCATCCACCGAAATTTTAGAAACTTAAAATTCGCTACCAATTTCTTGGAAGTCCTATTTCTTCTCAAATTTGGAACTTAAACAATATTATATAAGGATCACATACATCTTAACCGACTCAACAAAATATCCTCTATTAATCTATAGAGCTCTGAATTCCTGAAATACACTACTGATCGAGCAATTATCGCCAGTTATCGAAAAATCAACTTAACGGGTTATTTGTGTAGATAGGATCTCTCTTAACGCTCTAAATACTTAATACTTGATACTTGAATAGCCCACCCTCGCTGGTTGTGTGGACCCCAACATAATCTCCATTTTTCGGAGATTTCCTGGCTAACCCAGTGTGGTTCCCCGGAATCACGAGGTCAGCCTGGCCAAAGTGTGCCCCAGGTCCTCACCATCAGAGGCGTTCACAGCCCTTGTGGATCAAAGGAAGATTTGCCACCATACGACTTTGATCCCAGGACGGTGGCGGATCCTGGTATTGGTTTATTCTTGGCTAGGTTTCCTAATGGAAACGCCGGACTCCTTCTCAGCTTGGGAGACCCTGCCAGAGGACGAATCCTCCCGCTGCACATTGCAGTCCGACACCCAGGAACACCTAGCCATAATGAGGCAGCGAACCGTTGGGAGGAACACTGAAAATACATAAATAATTTTAGTCTTCGTCTTCCTCGGAGCCGATGATCCAAGTCAATGTCCATCTCCCTTCGCATTCTCGATGTGGTGTCTTAGTTGTCACATCAACACGGATCTTCTTCAGTCAAACACCGTTTGAATGATGCAGCCTCACCTAATGAAGCTCTTTTATGCAGGATAGCTGCACCTGATAGTGGTGATTATCCGGTGATAATAACTTTTTTCCCAAACATTTTGCGGAAGTCGGGATCATTATCAGCTAGTACAGAGCGTGATAATACTCCAGAAGTCGACTTTTATTGAACATCGGTGTGACTAATCAACATGTATTCTTTGCTCCTGTAGGTTATCGACTGCGACCATTGGCTCTGACGAAGACGAAGAAGTCGAAACGTTAGGCTAATAAACTTGTTTATCGACCTCGTGTTAGCTTAAAAATGAAAGAATACACGTAAAAATAGTTCTTAGTTATCTTTTCTCCTTCAATGATTTTTCAATAGGAAATTTTTTCGGTGAAATCTTCTTGTGTACTATTTGTTATTCGACAGGTTCACCCTTTGTCTACATGACAATGTTCTCTTTCTCTAAATGAGGGAGAATGTTCTTTTTCTCTCCATGAGTTTTAGAAAGTTCTTGCACATTTTGCTGCCCTAAGGTTGCATTTCTCCTCGCCTGTGTCACCTGCTTTTCCACAATTTTATCGCGAAACATCTAGAACTTTCTGGACATGGGAGGCGAAAGGACACGTAAAAGGCACTCAAAACTGATGTACCGCAAACATCCTATCATCTCTGTAGCAAAGGTTTCGTCATAAGACAGTTGATACGACTGTTCTTACTAGCAGCCACGAGCGCACGTGTTTTTAGCGAACCACTACAGACGACGTTTTTGATGATAGAAATTGGACAGAAGGAACAGACTGAACGGCTTCACGACTCCTATATCAGATAAATAATGACATTAGGTTGTTCGGCAAACACTACCACTTCGGCGTTGCAACATTACAACAGTTTTTATGGAACTTCTTCCTCGTTTATGAGCGCGGTGTTTACACCACCTGTTGTATAAAACATGTTTAGTTGCAATTTCTAGTACACGTTTACTATTGTTAGAGCTTCCCATAAAAATTTCGAATTCACAATAACGCGGATGGGCTGGAATCAGCTTTTCAGAAACTCAGCGCTGCCCGTACGTCTCAGTTTGACATAGAATAATATCCATCAATACGGTAAAGTAGCGAAATGTGGAGATGGCGTGAGACAACAGATGTCTAGATATTCGATGTCCTCAAAGTACATTGATAAAAAGCTAGGAAAACGCTCGCCTTGTTTATTTATTCTTAAAACGGTCACGGCAGGTTGACTGATGACTGACTGACTGATTCTTTTGACAGTTCGCTAAAAACACACAGCGTAGTTCAACAAACCAATACGCGAAGTCGTCAATGATTCGGTCTCATGTCACTCCTACTCCCACTTTAACTTCTTCATAATGGGTTGGAACAACTGTATTAGAAGCCCAACATTACACAAGGATAAGATCCTCGAAAAATCTTTAATTGCCCGTTTTCTTACCTTATCAGCAAATGCCTGTTTCCACTATTTTCTGAAACTTCCATCTAATCTTGGCATGAATAATCAACACCTTGCTGTAGTGTTAATTTCGAACAAGGTTCTTACAAAAAAGCCATTATTGTGGTTAGCGTCCTGACGCGCTAGCTCGCTTTCTTCAAAGCCAAAGTGATTCGATTCGATTGTCCCCACAGATTCATTCATGAGACATGCGTCTTCGTGGTCGCATCGGATCGAATCCAACGGAGTGGAGCGGATAACCCCACTCGGCATGCTCTTCTACATGGTCCCATTCGTATTGTATTTCCCATAAACCGTGCAACGTTAGGTAGCAAGTAGCAATCAACATAATTGCGAAAGGTGTAGGATGCATTGCCACCGTAGAAACAAGATGATGAACGATAACAGATCGACAAACGCCGTGTACAAAGATTACTGTCGAAGTTTTCTTCACTCGAGCAATGCCCTTCGCCATTAGAGTGCACTCAATGCTATCATGAAGACTCACATCACGATGACGACTGGTAGGGGTCAGTCGATTCGGATCAGTACGCCTCTGAAGAAAGTAAACGCGCAGGAACGTTAGTCACATTAACAGTTTATGTAAAAACCCCATCTATTTCAAACTACCGCAAGGAGGACTTGCTATGCAGATTGGCTGAATACATGCGATGGTTTTCGTAACTAACTCAATGAGGCAGAGATATTAGCAAAACTCCGGACCGCAGGTGTCTGCGGTGGGGAACGAACGTGCTATTGCTCTTTCCGGCGAGTAACGCGTTCACCACCACACCATGCGGGTCCTTCGCTTCGCCTATCTCTCAGTTAGTTCTATCGATCACTTGCCATCAGCATCGATAGAACTAGCAGAGAGACAGGCGGAACGAAGAATCCGCATGATCTGGTGGTGAACGCGTTACTCCACGGAAAGGACAATATAGCGTTCGTTCCCACCGCAGACACCTGCGGTCCGGAGTTTTGCCAATATCTCAACATCATTGAAGTTATGTTTCGCAATTAAAAAGAGTAGGCAGTAAATAAAACAGTTAAGATTTCGTAACTAACTTTAGCAGCTAAGGGCAAAAAAACACGGTGTCGAAGGCGGTTGTTTCTTCCTAATTAGCGCAACAGTGCTCTTTCCAAAAATTCGAAAACTTTCCAGTGTTACCCAAGTTTCCAATCTTATATGGGAGATCGGAAGAGGTGGGCTTGTAAACAAAAGAAAGACTAATCGAATGGAATTGTCACCTAAAATAAAAACAATAGAATTTCGAAATTGTTTCAGTGTGTTCCAAAGACATAAGGCAAATGTCTTTTTCGAAAAATGACAAAAATAACTGGCTTAGCGAACCAATGGTGTCTTCACTACCATTAGGGACTACAGTCGATCTTTAGCAATCAGTTATTTAAAAAAATGTGATAAGAGTTCATAAAAGGAGAGAAAAGGAGAAATGAAGTAGAGGGATTGTGGTTCTTAGTGAATAAGTATAAACAGTGTATATTGTTCCTGCTGTCCTTGTTCAATAGCTGACGATTCGGTAACTTCGCCTTCCTCAGAACCTTGTCGTTGGGGCACTCGTGTGTAGTCACGAGGGATGATGAGTCAGCTAGTCAAACAGTGTACAGTAGAGCGTGTATATATATAGTATATAATGTCTGATATACAAATACTGCACAAATATCACGAAAATTCGACAAGACAGAACTATTCAAAAATACAACGGTAAGTAGGATTGTCTTAAGTACATCTAGCATGATTCGCTAGTTGGATCTATAGTTCAGGCCAAGGAACACGCACGACATATCTGTTACTCTTTTACTTAATTCTGACAAACTCGTTCAATTCTGACAAACTACCTGTGGCCGGAAATATCACAGTGGGCAAATTACGTCCAGCCTGTCGCCAATGTGTTAAGACTGTCTCCATATAGCTTTTCATAGTAAAAGAATGATATCATCAAAATACCTGAACTGCTCTGACTCCGCCTGGCATATTAACGATGACAGTCCTATCGCGGATACCGGCCACCGCTCTGCTGAGTGCAGCCATTGGGGTGTGAGCTAAAGAGTGAGCGTGCAACGCAACCTCCAGTCCAGTGCAGCGTCGATCGACGACGTTGATCGTTGCCTTAAGGAAGAAAATACTTGCTACTTGAACGGCCCGTTATCACTAGTTGTGTGAGCCCCAGCATAATCGCCATTTTTCGGAGATTTGCTGGTTAAGCCATTGTGGTTCCCTGGAATCCCGAGACCAGCCTGGCCAAAGTATGCCCCCAGGTCGACACCACGACAGGCAGTCGCAGCCATAGTGGATCAGAGGGAGCTTTACCACCATGCTTTGATACCAAGACGGTGGTGGATCTTGGTATTGGTTTACTCGTAGGCAGGCTTCCTGATGGAAACACCGGACTCCTTTTCAGCTTGGGAGACCCTGCCGAGGGGACGAACGAATCCCCTGCTGTATAACGCAGCCCAACACCCAGGAACACCTCCCAACCACGATGAGGCGGTAAACCGTTTGGAAGTAATAAGGAGGAGAGGAAGAGGAGAAGGAAGAAAATAATGAAAACAAAAGTGAAAACTCCGACAGTGACTCCCATGCTAATTGTGCTCTTTTCATAACTTCATGAAACTTAAAATTTGGATTTGTTCGAATTACAATGCTTAACTTGTTATCTACCGCCCATTATTTTTTCAGGAGAGAGTACTACGTGAAATACAACGACAGTGATGCTCAAATACTTGCAATACGTGGACCCCAAACCAGATTCACATCTGCTTTTTATGCTAATATGTCAACATCATTATCCGACTTAGTCAGCCTCTTGTAAGCACGAAATCGTGAGCAAATCGGCGGTTTATATTTAACACAAGAATTGTTTATTATTTTACTCTGCTGTTCTCTAGAAGATAGAACTTTTGTTCGGTTGGTAGTTGAACCAACTTTTCACATAATTAGAACTCTAACAATTATGATGATCAGCAAGCTTATAAAGACGTCGTTGAAGTAGTGAGGAGATGCCCGACTCTAATCAACCCTTCCATTTCACAACTGTCTCTTCATTGAAATACATAACTCAGAATTTTGAGCATCGCTTAGACAAAATGAAGCTACATACATGGTGAAGAATAAAGGACAGTGTTTCACTGTGCGAAATGTCGAGGACCAGGCGAAACCGAAAGACCGCTCGTTCCAAGTAAAAAACTGTACTAAAGTGGCAACGAATCGGATTTCATGACAAAAAACAAGCGGCCTTCATCTTGGTTGAAAAATTGCTGGGGTCTTGTCGATTTCTTCAACAATCAACGTTACTACAAATGGAAACAGAAAATTCCTAAGAGTTCATTCATACCGTTTGAATAACATTCATTATCTATAAACTGCTGTCTGAAAAAACACAGTCCTACTTCTATGCTTCATACCCTTAGAGCACAATGAAAAACTTTCCACAATTCAAACACTTAGACACTTATATTAGTCGTCTTCACATACCATGGAGGTATCCAAACTTCTGTTAATTCCCAAGACCGACTTTCTGTTAGCCTCGGCACTGATTGATAATTCGATGTTTTTCTTCAATAAACAGATAAGAGGGTGGTATTATAATATTGATTAGGATACAATAGCTGACGTTTCGGCGGTATCGACTTCTTCAGAGCCGTTCCGCTTTCCCTGCGCACTGACATACCGAACGATAATACAGGATGGTTTTCCTTAGCAAAGCAGCTGTCTAAAGCGTTCTGAGTTCTCCACCATAATTGGCTGCTTGCTTGTGTGGATGGGAAGCAAACAAATTGCATTGCAACTCGAATTCTTCCAGGAAAACAGCGATTTTTGTGACCGCAGCGTACCTCGTGATTACTGTAGCGACCGCTTGAAGACGATGTAACAAACCTAGTTCCTTTCCACGACTACCTATCTGTTGTAATGTAGTTAAAACTACGTTAACAAATAGATTTACAAAGGTCGTTTCCAATTTAACAAAGAAGAGTAGCAAGCTCTTAAGATATCTGTCTTATTATGTAATAACATTTAAGCGGAAAAGCTTCATATAAGTCTAAAATTTGAATAAACTCAAATAGAAGCATCATGTCCTATTCGACCATGAACGAACGAGTTCCCATGTCAAAATCGGCAAACGAAGAATATCCAACTATTATAATGCTGAAATATTTGTAAAACTCCGGACCGCACGTGGTTGCGGTGGGAAACGAACGCGCTATTGTCCTTTCCGGGGAGTAACGCGTTCGTTCCCACGGCAAGCACCTGCGGTCCGGAGTTTTGCAAATATCTCAGCATTATAATAGTTATATTTCGCAAAATAGCCTGCCGTTAAAAAAAGAATAGGCAGTAAATAAAATGGTTAAGATAGCGAATATCCAACTCACCTCCGGTGTGACATCTCTTTTCGAAAATCCGGTTCCACCAGTGGTTATGATCACATCTTAAAAAAACATGAGCACTATAGTATTTACGAAGATCCAACAAAGAAAAATTTTGTGCCAAAGCTCTTCTATAGCCCCACCACTGTATTTGCATCGCTCAATTAAAGCTGCTTCAATTAAGTTCATCTCATCAGGGACAATTACAGTCGATACAACCTTGTGATCACGTAATCTTAAAATGAATGCCTTATTACTATCATTATTGATAAAAACTTGGTTAATTTCCACAAACAGAAAGGCAAATGAAGTAGTACTCACATCGCTGATTTCTCTATCAGTTGCACAACCGCCGGTCCACCTAAGTCCTCTCGCGTTCCTGCAGCGCAGGAGTCACTGACTGCAAATGAGGAATGAGTTGCACGAGTTAAGAAGCGAACATTGGTTTCTCTTTATAAGATCCTACAGAGAGAAAATAGTTCATAAGATCCTATAAAGACAACACTGTTTCTAAGCTTACTACTTGCCAGTTGCTTAAGTATATTTCAGATAACGTCACGAACACCCAAATGTTCCTAGAACGTCTACGTAACTTGTCTCCTATCAATGCGTACGTGATGGAGTCCTTCGACGTTACCGCGATTAACACCAACTTATCGAATGACTCCACAATGCGAACCATCCTCGAACTTCTTGTTAAACACAAAGGTGGAATAAATATGCATAACTTCTCCATTCAGCAGCTTATGGCTCTCCTGAAGGAGTCTCTAAACTGCTCGATCTTCAGATGGTCCGGGAAATGTTATGCACCAATGAGGGTTGGCAATGCGACAGCCGCTGGAACCATGCCTTGCCATTGTATTTATGTCTAAAATAGAAGCCACCACTCTTGATGATCTCCGGCCGCTAATCTATTTCAGATATATCGATGAATTTATCATCTTCTCTGCACAAGAGAATGTGGACAGATGCTTTGAATTACTGGACGAGCAGTCTGAGTACACTAAACTTACCCAGTAAAAGCCGAAAGAAACCGATTCCATTTCTTAACATCCAAATTAACTTATCAAATAGCGGTTACATGACAAAGTGGTACCGAAAGCCAAGTAACAAGAACATCCTTGTTCATTGCCTTTCTTCCTACCCTTCACACACAACTAGAGCGCTTGTGAAAGACATGTTTCGATCGGCCACCTCTGTGTGCACAATTAGCGAACTAAGGGAGGAGTCGTGCGACTTGGCTCGACAAACAGCTATCTCCAATGGCTACCAAATAGTAACCCTACAAGATAAGTTAAGGACAATGACGCCCCCTCAAAACGAAAGACTTGGTCGAAACAAAGTCCCGTTTATCTTGCCATTTATTAGCGATGAATTAAATGTAACTATAAAGCGATGCTTAACATGGACAGGTCTAGAGGAAACGGTAGCGATAATTGAAATGTCACCCAATATTCTTCGTCGTTAGTTAGTTCGATAGCAATAACCTTCTACCGAGTAGGGACGCTCTGGCTGTGTAGCGCCTCTATGATTGCTTCCGTTTCAACTCATTCTAAAGCCGTTTTTACGTCAATAAAAGTGAGACAGAGCGGTCTCTTGTACACTTGTAATACACAAACGAATCTCGTCATCATGTGATCCCGTCGTTCGTACTGAATCCTCTTCGAAATCCTGATTGCTGGTAAGGCTGTTCTTTGTGCACTGTTCTCAAACCCTGTCGAAAATGACGCGAATGAACAGTTTGCCTGCGAAAGACGGCAGGAATATCGGGGAAAGTTGCCGAATTTGCAGAAGTCTTCATTTTTTGAATAATACGGTGGTTCTGGCCTTCGTTGGACTAGAAATCTTGCATTTTGACAAGTAACGTGTGAAAAACCAACTCACTGCGTTGATTGGGCCTCGTGAGAGATTATCTGTGTTTAAAAGTTATCCTTTCCAGACCAGGTGCTCTTTGACTCTTCACTAACGACAGAGCGTGTCAGAATTCGGAAGGAAGACCGCTGGGACGACATATCCATCATCCCTAATTTCATTTGAGGGCAGGAAGACGTGGTTGGTGAAGAACTCCAGAAGGAAAGCCGCAACTGTTCGGTTTGGACGTAGGAGTACGGTGACCTTAAGCTGGTAACTTACACAGTCTCAGAGGACCTTGCAAACGCTTTTTCTAGCCTCTGTAGCCTCGGCTATTACTACTATTCTTCGCACCCTACGATCTTCTTCTATCACCTATCTACAGCGTTTTGCAAATTTGTACAGTTAGCGATTATCTACGGCTCGTGCTATTCCATGTTGCATTATCAGCTCAGATATCTCTGTCAGAGGTCTTTGATTTTTGAATTCTCAGCTTTTATGCCATTAATATAATGATGCTAAAAAGTCGGTCACATCGTTATCGATGTTGTCGATAACTTCACCTTTTCGAAAGCCGACTAGCCGATTTGAATAAGTCCCAATTCACGCCGGCTTTGGGACTTTGTTCCCCTCATTTTGCGCCTTTCTCTCCTCTCTGTGAAACAGGAATCTTGCAGAAAAGAAATTATGGTCCGATTCCGTGTAAAACTTTGAGAGAACAGCAACATCGACCGAGCAAAAACACTGGTTTACTATGATGTGCTCTACTTCATTATGGCACTTTTCATTGAGACAGTCGCAGTCCAAGGAAGAGAGTGGGGCTTCTGAAACTGTAAATTACCATGAATGGTCTTGGACGTCACGACGAACTCAGAGATCCGCTCACACTCTTCGTTCCATCGTGGGTCCCAAGTGGTATGCTTTTCAGACGTCTTCATGAGTCCAGTCCGAAAATACCTATGAAGGTCTCAATGCATAGCTTATTTCTGCAGATTTCCAAGCCCACGTAGAACGTTTCGACTTCTTCTTCGCCATAGTTTAACATGGATGTGTGGGCGACTGTCAAATCTATTAATGCCCCCATCTATCCAACCATTAGTGTCCGATTCGGTTTGTTAATTGTTCAAAGTAGTTGGTATTCATGGTCAGACTAGTGTTGACAAGAACGCCAACGCCATCAACTCCTCTACTGTCGCAGATTACTATCGAACTTTATGGGAGGTCTTTCAAAGTCGTGAATTAGACATTTCAAGTCAGCGGACCAGCCAAAAATAAGCAAATGTGTCCAGCTGCTGCAATCCTATTAGAAATTTATTCGGGCAACTGTAGTTTCTATGACTACTTAGGTACACATTTGAATCCTGACTTTAGGACTCTGTGATAAAAAATTCCTAACCAAAAATGCAAAAAGAAATTTTTAAAAATGAGGAGTGATATGGAAAATGTGGAATTGATCTAATGGCACATTGTGGTAGATCCTACATATTTCGCAATGACGAAGCATCACATGGACAAATCTCAAAGGACAATTCAAAGTGTCAAATTCTCGCCTCAAATTAGGGGATGGTTAAAGTGGCTTTAAACATTTTTTTACCATTGAGAGTTTCCAAGTGTACTAAACTAAAACTCAGATGAGACATCACAATGTTAACTTTTTATTCACTGCCTACTACTATTTTTACAGCAGGAGTATTGCTGAGATTTCCCGCTCACGAGTGATTGCTGATGGCACAGTGAGGTAGAAAACTGACCGAGAGAAAGGCAAAGAAAGCTCCTCAGTGGTACAGGGGTAACATGTGAGCGCCAGAAACGAATCTCTGGTAGCCATCAGCTTTCTTAAGCACTACGCTGTTATATGAAATTTGCATAAGAAAATTTGAAAATTTGCAAATTTGCATAGGTAAGCCAGCATTAGGGATAATCAAAAAACTCAAATATTTTTCAACAACCTTTTTCATTATGTCTAAGCAGCCATTCTTTTGAAAAATTCTAGCAAAACTATCGAACGACAGAACAAGCCACACAGGCACCTCCCAGGTAAAGCTAATCAAATCAGGTATAAAATAGAAATTAAGTACAGAAAATAACTACAGTTCTAAAAAAGGTCTTACCTGTGACAACCGAGAATCGCATATTTCACTTCGCCAAGATTTGACGAACCTAAACGTACAGCAAATGACAGCCGTCACTTCTAACTTTCACATTTCAAAACAACGAGAACAGGTTATCGATGTACAGAGCGCAGGCATTCCAAACCATTATTTGTAGCTGCCTGGTAAGAACTTTTTCGAACTAAAAAACTATACACCTGAAAAATAACAGAATATGGAGTAGATGCTATCGAATTTAGCTGCTCACTAGCCGTATTACACTTGCAATGAGTGAAATAAGATATTTAACCACAACGTTGCTGAGATATTTGCAAAACTCTGGACCGCAGGTGTCTATGGTGGGGAACGAACGCGCTATTATCCTTTCCGGGGAGTAACGCGTTCACCACCACACCATGCGGGTCCTCTGTTTCGCACGTCTCTCAGCTATTTCTATCGATCTTTTTGCCACAGCAATCACCCGTCAGAAAATAGCTGAGAGACGTGCGAAACAAAGGACCCGCATGGTGTGGTGGTGAACGCGTTACTCCCCGG